GTGTGTGTGTGTGTGTGTGTGTGTGTGTGTGTGTGTGTGTTTTAGTTGTCAGGAGATGCTGGGTACCCAAGAAGCATTTGGGAAGCTCTAAGGATTCTGTGTCTATGGCCTTGAGAATTTATTAGAGTAACTACTTGCAAAGATAACACACAATATAAAGATACCACACAATTTTTTTTCTTACGAGTAATAGTTGTTGATAATTAACCAGGGAGAAAAAGAAAATGAAGAATGGGAAATTTTATATACACAGACATACCTCACCTTTACATCTTAAGAAATAGCATATCCCAGCTTCCTTGACTATTTCCTTATGTCCTAAGTGTGCCAAGGGTCAGAATGCTCTTAAATGCAAAATGTTTCTTTTTCTGACAAGCCTGTGAGCAGCATTTCTCCCTCCTGGAGTTGTATCAAAGTCAATATGAATGATATAACATACTATTGAGTGATATTAAGATGGCATTACAGATACTGTGAGTGTCTCAAGTCTTGGTCTTGTTCACCTAACTGAAATATGGACTCCTTTAAGTTTTAGATCTTATGAAGAATCTTTTTGTCAATATAGATTTGTGCTTATCAAGTTCTTGTTAAATTCTTGAATACAAGAAGTTAGTTTCTCTTCCTGGTATAAGGCATGGCTACAGTGGTTGTTGTAACTGTAACAATATTAGCTGATATCACAATTCTAGCAATTGACCAACAAATAAACCTTTGAGAAGTCTCAACATTTCTTGCATAAAGGCTACATTAGAAGTCTCCAGCTGAAGCTCTTTAAGACAGATTTCAACCCAGGAATCTACTAGATTTTAAGAGTCATAAACACAGAGTCATTTAAACAATGTGTTCAGTTAACACATTGTTGCAAATAACAGTCAAAACAAGAATGAGATACAAATATTCAAATTCTTGACACATGATAATATATGAAATTCCTTATTTGTGATTATGATTAAATAGAAAACACTGAATTGTATTCCAGGTATAATCTTCCCTTCACACTGTTAGAACCACTTGCCCTCCACAATTTCAGAGAAGGTCCTACAGAAGTCCACTCAAATCATCCTAAGATTGTGTGTGCTTGCATGTGGGGGAGGGGGCTGTTAACACTTCCATAGCACACTGTGTGTGTGTAGTGTATGTGGAGCTGTTAGCTCTTCCAAAGCATACTGTGTGTGTATGGAGGCATCCTAAGCTTCCATAGTATTCTCTCTCTCTCTCTCTCTCTCTCTCTCTCTCTCTCTCTCTCTTTCTCTTTCTCTCTCTCTCTCTCTTCTGTCTCTCTCTCTTCTGTGTGTGTGTGAGAGAGAGAAATAAAGAGAGAGAGAGAAAGAGAGAGAGAGAGAAAGAGAGAGAGAGAGATGATAACCCTTCCACAGCACACTGTGTGTGTGTGGTGGGGTCCTAACCCTTCCACAGCACAATTTGTGTGTTTTTGTGTGTAGTGGGAAGGGGTTTAACCCTTCTATAGCACACTTCATAGTAGAGCAAATCACCACATGCTAGGAGTAATCAAATTGTGTTTTATTGATTTCTCATTCCCACATCAGATTGTTAACATCCAACAATTCTCTGTTTTCCCCTCTTTTCTCTTTTAGCTATGCTTTTATTACAGGGATGTTTGGTAACATAATCAGACTAAATTAAAACTTCCTTTGTGGGGTTCCATTGTGTATGATTAGCACAAACTGATCTTTATGGAATATAAGTGACAGTGATATAGATCCCTGACTCAAATCACTAAGATGTTATAAAATTCAGCATGGTCTTTTTATCTCACTTCTTAGGTTTTCTTATCAAAAAGGTCTGTACTATGGGTGATAAAAGAAGGAGTTATTAGCAGTCATACACAACAGAGTTTGATAAGCAAACCCAGTGTAGTTGATGTTGCTCTATCAACAGGCCTGGTGGGTAGTAACAACTTAAGGAGTATCTTGTTTATTTAGGTTTGTATTGTTGTGATGAAACTCCATGACAATAAATCAACTTTTGGTGGAAAGGGTTTATTTAACTTACATATCCTCAGTCAGTATCTATTAACAGAAGATTAGGCAAGAACCAAAGCAGATGGCATGAAAGAACAATGCTTTTGGCTAACTCTCCATGGCTTGCTCATCCTGGTTTTTATACCATTCAGGGTCTATGAGTGACAGGACCCACAGTGGGATAGGACCTCATACTTTAATCATTAGTGGGATAGGACCTCATACTTTAATCATTAGTCAAGAAAGTGTTTCACAGACTTGCATATAGGCCAAATTTGTAGATTTTTTTCTGAACTAAGAGTATTTCTTTTTAAATGACTCTAGCTCATGTCAAGTTGCGAAAATATCTAACAAAGATGAGCAAGTACTAATTAAATGATAATATGAGCTCCAGTGATTGAGGAATTTGTGATCAATAAATCTGCTTATATGCAAAACTGATCAAAGTACTGTTGATGGTAACCATCATAGAGAGCACATTTGTAATGGAATGGGACCAGCTCAAGTCTCTCAACTCTCCACTTTCTCATCAAATGTCTTCTCTTATCCTTAGATTAGGGGCATAGTTTTGAGCTGAAGGCATTTCAGTGTTTAGGTGGGAGTCTTTACTTCCCCATGAATGATGATTGATGTTTTCTTCTGTTTCTCCCCCCACCCCACCCCTGGCTCAAAGAACTTAATTTTATGTCTTTCACAGACAAACCCATTACCACATGTAAGAATGTCTGGTTTTTTTTTCCACGTTCCAGAATTTGGATCCCATCAGAAAATCTCCAGGTAAGGCGCACATGAGCAGAAAATCCTATATAGTGCTTTTCTATAGAACATCCACTATCATCTGTTTAAAAAACTTCAGGTTAAAAACTAAAAGACTTAGAGATAGTGAATCAGAAGGCATAAAGGAGCCTGTTTTCCCTTTGTTTCATTTTAAAGAGGCCATGGGTATGTTTTACAATGCTTTGTCCTGTAGGATTCTAGGAACTACCTGTTTTAGAGGTAATTCCCCAATGCACCAAAAGGTTTTTAAATCTTGAGAATTACATGTTGAGTTATATGCTGGCTGTGATCCTGTGAGGAATAGCTAAAATAGCAAATGCAGAAAGAGTGAGATTGAACCCACACATGTTTCGCAAATCTGAACCAGAGCCCAGGTGAATCTGAAATAGGTATCCACTGGAATATGCATGAAGTCCAAATGATCAAAGGATTGAACAGAGTGGTCTCCATTTTCTATTGGGCTTTTAAACCATGTTGATGAGGGTTGGTTACATCGTTCAGCAGTTAAGGATAATTGTTGCTCTTCCAGAGGATGAGAGTTCAACTCCTGTCATCCCCTTGGCAGTTCATAACAATCTCTCCCATTTCTCCAAAGGATCTGATGCCTTCTTCTGGCCAGGCATGAGTGTGATGCCCATACATACATGCAGGCAAAACACCCAAACACATTTAAAAAATCAAAGCACCTATGGGAAATAAAGTGGAATAGTCTCACAAAAAAGGATAATAGCATAGTATGTTTGGAGATACGGTATGTGTCAGGTAAAAAAAAAAAATGACTTGCAAAATTGTGAATATTTTGATGTAGCAAAGCATGAGAATTTTGAGCCTAAAGAAACTAATATGACAGAAAGTCAGCTATATGCTTTTTCCTTAAGACAGCAATCTTGGCAAAGTATGAGAGCATATGTCACTTTTGTAGAAAAGAGGTATGGTAACAAATGGACTTTCTTTATTGATTAGCATTTGGAAGCAGAAGCAGAGACCAATAGCTAAGCCCTGAGCCAAACACCTGTTGTAGAGAGGGAGAAGTGATGAGCAAAGGGGTCAAGACCTGGCTGGGGAAACCCACAGAAACAGCTGACCTGAACAAGTGGAAGCTCATGGACTCCAGATTGACAGCTGGGAAACCAGTGTAGGACTGAATCAGACCCCCTGAACTGGATGTCAGTTGGGAGGCCTGTAATGTCTATGGGGCCTCTGGTAATGGAACAGTATTTATTCCTAGTGTATGAATGGACTTTGGGAGCCCATTGCCCATAGAGGGATACTCTTTCAACATAGACACATGGGAGGGCCTAGGCCCTGCCCTAAATGATGTGACAGAGTTTGATCATCCCCTATGCATGGCTTCACTCTCCCTAGAGAGCAGAAAGAGGTTGGGATGGGGGTTCAGTGGGGGACATGGAAGGATGGGAGGGAGAGAGAACTGGGATTGATATGTAAAATAAGATTGTTTCTAATTTAAATAAAAACTATAAGAATACTAGCATTTGTAGAAGTATTTTGAAATTTCTAATCCAGAAATAGTAATAATTTTGTAGTATAATGGAATTAGCTGATACTTTAGGAACTAAATTAGTATTCTGACATACTGCTCAAACAATTTACTAAGGACATTAATGAACATAACAGCCCTTCTTGGAAATTCAGTTAATGAATTATAAGGAGAGTATTTAGACCTTTATCAGATTTTCCAGGAGCCCACGATCATGAACCAGGTGGACCAGATGCATTAAAAAAACAAAGCTTAAAATATGATTTGTGTTATTTTTACTCTGTGTGTCAGGCAAATGGGTTGTATAATTTTATGAGTGTATATAGTATAAAATGCTGCATTTTATTATGACAATTTATACATATACATAATATACTAATTTATATAAATTCACACAGTGGAGTTATAGTCATACATGAAGAAGAGCACAGTGTCATTTTCAAAATATAAAATGATCAGGCTAAGCTAAAATAGTCACACCAGAAATGCAAATATAGCATGTTTTCCTGCCTACCTGAAGTAAAGGTATAATAAAAGCAACATGAACATTATAGTCACAGGGGAATTTGGGGGAAATTAATATAATTATGGCAGATTCTGTCTACTAGGGTTCAGAGAATCTTTCTTCACTTATAGAAAATTGAAATAAAATACTGGTATATATTACTGTGATTTTCTTCTTAATACATATGCATATGAGTTAACAATATTTGTTCAATTTTATTTTAAATTGTCTCCTTCATAACATCTTTCAATTTAAATCTCTAAATACATATGAAAGACATGTTTTACATAATAAGATAAGAGTGACAAAATAGTTTTTGTTTTCTATATTGGGTTAACACAGGCTGTTTCTAAAATGATAATAAAAGGAAAGGGCAGAGATGAGTAATATGAGCCCTTTTGGCAAAACATAAATGACCCATAGCAATTATGATAACTGCTCTTAAATGTAACAATGTGCATACACTACTGGGCTAGTGGCTTCTCAGATAATGGTGATTGCAAAAACTAGACAACTGAATGAGATCATAAGCTCTCAGAGCAAGTTGGCTAACTGTATCAAGAATTATTCACTATTATATTGGGAAAAATAACAGATTTCCTATGAATGAGTTCAAAACTGTACTCTGTCTTTCAGTTGACATTGGAAATAGGAAATTAATTACAAAACCACATTTAAGTAGATCAAAAGTATTAAGAATCACAAAATCAGAAACTCGTAACAGTGGTAATGAAGAAAAGACTATTTTTTTTTTTAATTTTTTGGTGTGTTGAGTCAGGGTTTTTCTGTGCAAAAGTCCTGGATATCCTGGAACTCATTTTCTAGACCATGCTGGCCTCAAACTCACAGAAATTTGCCAGCCTCTGCCTCCTGAGTTCTGGGATTAAGGTTGTGTGCCACCACTGCCAGACCTACCGAAATACTTGTTAACACATACATCTGTTTTTTGAAAATGCTCCACATAAGTGATTTTCCTATCATTTTCTGACCTTTTGTCATTTCTTGGGCTAGTTATTTTACATATTTTTGAGATTATAAAATAATTATATAATTAATTTCACTCCAGTGTTGCTTTTCTCCAAACCTTCCCTTTATAGACCTATTGCAATTTAGGGTTTCTTTTTTCTTAATCACTGTTAGCCACACACACACACACACACACACACACACACACACACACACACACACACACACACAAATCTGACTAATCATTATAATGTCACATATGGTGACAGTGAATTGTAATGTTGCTTATTTTGTATAGCTTTGTTTTTACTATTTCCTAATTGTGTCTTTATTTTATATTTATTCATCTAATTTTCAAATCCCTTGGGAAATTACATACTAATTTCTGATAATATATGCAATTCTATCATTATCTATTGATGACAGCAAGATTGGGATATATGTTATTATATTAAGATAATCTTTACATTGTAATTTGCTTTTATGTTGAACATCCGTTATTTTTCTAGTGTATGTCCATGTCCATTCATTTTGGAAGTAATTTCAATTTGACATGTTTCATTCCAATGTGTTTTCTGATAAAGTTTTAGTAATAGTTGCAAATAAATCATGACTACATCTTAAAAGCTATCTATATGTCCTTTAAACTTGATTTAATATTCCAGGCTTTCTAGGCAAGTGTTGAGTTATCCTACAGTAAAGCAGGATTTCTAAAAATTTCTTTGATATATCAGTGATAAAGCCATCTTTTGACCTGTCTTAAGGTTTTAAAAAACCTGTCTCTCTCAGAACTTCACCCATCAAAGAAAAACAAACTCCCAGCCATGAAGTAGAGTAAGTGTCTCAGAGTAAGTTCTGAGTCTGGAGTACAGCTGCATCCATAGATACAAAGGAGAGATGAGAAAGAATCGCTAGATCTCTCCTTGAAACTCACATCCTCCTGTCTCCATCCATGCTGAAGAACAGCCTTCTTAATATTGCTTTATGCTTGCCTCTAGGTCAAGCATAAAAGATGCTAGAAAAACAAAACAAAACAAATGGCATTTACTTCCATTAATCAAACTCAATGTCTAACCCTTAGTGTTTACATTTGAATATGTATGTAAACAGCTATTGACAGGATGCTTATGTTTTCCTCTATGAAACATTTTCTTTTAAAAAGTAGTATTTTTACTGTGTGTATGTGTGTACATACACATACTGTGTGTATTTTCATCACACCAAAGATGATTGTGCTGAATTTCACCTTTCTGGATCTACTTACCACATACCTCAGCATGGTATTTTATTGTCCTTTCTCCTCTTCCTGAACACTGAAAACTTGGCTATCATTCTGTAGGAATCTGTGATAAGTCAACAAGTTTAACTAATGAAGGCACTGACCTTTTTACCCTTATGATTTCCTGTAAATTAAATCTTCCGCTGAGTCATTTCAGTCCTTGTAAATCTTATCAGGCGAGTTATTTTTCCTCTCTCCTGATTATCATTGAAATTGAGGGGAGATAAGTACTCAGGATTTCACATAACCATCCCCTTGGGAGCTTAAACATAGCATGCCTCGGGATAAAGCCTGGACTCATTTCCTCATAATCATGAGGGACAGAGTTTGGGCATTACTATTCATTATGCTCCCCAGGTAATCCCAGTGCACAGACTTATTTGAGAATTTCTATCTAGGAATTTATTGAAACCCATTCTCACACCTCTATCTCTATAGGTTTTCACTCTCAGGTTAGTTTCAGAAATGTATACTGTTCTCTGTCTTTTCTACTGCAGCTATCTGTGATCCAGAAAGAACACTTTCCCACACTTTTCAAAATGTATTGTCTCCAGCACCATTATCACCCTTTATGATATCTTCCCTTTCTACATTTGTTTTCTCCATACCAAATATTCATTTTCATAATCATTTTGGACCTTTTACTAAAAATTTAAAAGTTAGGTCTACTAATTTTAATTACAAGCATTTCATTCTCCAGCCAGATTTTGCTGCTTCCAGTATTTCCATTGTACGTCCTCCTGTTTATAACC